AATGGCTTCCACTTTGGCTGGATCTGGAATAAGGCCTTGAGGTGTTAACAAATGACCAATGAATGGCACTTCCTGTAGACGCAACTTGATCTTGTCTGCATTCAGCGTTTAAATTTCTTTCGAGCTCGCTCCAGTAAACCAACAAGATTCTTGTCATGACTGCTTCCTGCTTCCTCGACTGTATCACCATACCCGATCACCAGGAAGTCATCCATTATGACCTCAACACCCTCCAGCCCCTCGATAAATTCATGAGCTTTTCTCTGCCAAACTTCTAGTGCAGATTTTATTCCAAATGGCATTCTCTTCCAATAATATCGCCCATACGGCGTATTGAATGTCGTCAGCTTGCAGGAACTTTCTGATAGCTTCACTTGCCAAAACCCCGACTTTGCATCCAACACTGAGAAAAGTACACAGAGCCGTATCAAAGCTTGTTAAAACTGCTATAAACACTGCTATAACTGTGAAACTATTGAAATCTAAAGTGACATTATTGAATACATGCGAAAAGCTGAAAATGGCTCATGAAACGCAATGTGACATTGCCATTGGGAATATAAAGTCAAAGGTCAATCAGACTTGTTATTGTGAGACATGTCACAATTAGGTTAAAATGCGGAAGCGGATGGAACGGATCCACGGAACGGATATGGGGATAAAATATAGAACGGAATTCAACGGATGGGTATAAAATGCGTTCTTTTAATGATACAACGTCGTAGTGCTTATTATTCATAACATATCTTATACAGCTATTTGGGTGATAGGAATAATATATTAAATAAGTTCAGCGTATCAGTAGCCTCGTTAGGATGCTTTTAGCGACAGCTGCAAATGCAAATGAAGTTTAGAATATGCAAAATTTGGGTGCTGGTGAAACAATTTAAATTTCGAGTTGTTGCGTGTAGCATCACAATAAATAAATAAATTGTATCAGTTCCACGAGGCACGTTTCTGATCTGTTAGGTTTGTTTCAAACGTGGCGCTACTCAATGTGTCGAACGCATTATAAAATAGATAATGACGGATGAAATGCCTTTGGTAACTGTTTATTTCGTACTGTAAGCCATCAGCCTTTCTAGGTTGTCGGCAACCCTATATAGTTCTTGCAGTGTCTTTTTCAATTTGAAACTTCACACTATCCTTGAATCCCTAGTTTTTAGTGTGAAGTTTCTTCGAAACTTCACAGTATTGTGATGACTGGGGGGAAATTCAAACTTATCAGTCAGTCATACAGTAAATTTTCCGGGGGG